CGGGGGGGGAACATCGCCAATGCCAGAACCTGACCCCGGGGCTCAGCAAGGGCCCCCGGAGGCCCAAAACGGCCAAACCCCCCCATTGTGAGTGTTCGCAAATGAGCGCAGAGCGCCGCGGGTTGCCTCCGGGACCTGGTCCGCGCAGTTGCACAGCGTGAGCTCCTGGATTACGGAACCTATGACCTTCACGGGCGCCGCGGGGCGCTTTGAGGGCGGTCCCGCCTCCAGCTCGGATCACTGACCTCCAACATCCTGGAAAACTCGAGAAGGAGGCTCCGTGTTGCTTCACCCTCGCCCTCCAAGGACCGTTCTCGGGCCCTGGGGCCATCGAAAAGCAATCCAGGACCGGAAGCCAGTCCCCGAGAGGGGCTCCAGAGCTCCAGGGCCCGCGCATAGAAACAAACCAAGACATCGGAGGTCCATGGCCCAGGTCTGCAGCATCACGGAACAAGGCGTGGCCGCCACTCGATCACAGGCGCAGGAGGATGAGCCAGAGGAAGGCGAGCAAGTGAGGGAGGATATCAGTCAGGAGAGAGTGAGGAGGAAGAGGAGGAGGAGGAGGAGGAGGAGAAGAGGGAGGAGGAGTTGCACGAGGATGAGAAGAGGAATGAATGATGAGGAAGAAGAGGAGCAGGAGGAGACGGGAGGAGGACAACAACGATGAGGAAGGGGTAGGGCATAGGGAGGCTACGGACGACGTCGAGGGGCGATGGAGGAGGGGAAGAATGACCCCGCTGCGTAACATGAAGTATGCCATATGAGCTGCTCGCTCGTCGGGGCAAACTTCGAGCCGAACACCGCTTAAACGAGGGAGTGTGCCGTTGAGGGCCCCTGCCTTTCCAACGATCCACCTCCTTACATAAGATACCATAACTCGGCTGCCTCAGTTCCCCTCCGAGGAGTGCGCGAGGGTCTACGCATCGTCGTGCACGCGAGCCGTCCGAGCACCGAAATGACAGAAGGCGGTGGCAGCGGTCAGAGACTTTCTGGATGCCCTCTGGAGGCTGACCTGCGAACGTTTGTGCACCCCTCCAGTGGGGATGGGTCGTTGACCCGACAAACTTGAGGATGCCATATCTTCTGAGGCTGAGGCAGATGCTGCAAAGCCGAAACTTACCGCACCACTCCCACTAGCGCGAATATGAATCCAACGCTCGAGGGGGGGAGAAGGAAACTTGGAGGTGGAAGACTTGGAGGGGATGGACAAGAAGAAGCGGATCAGAACATACCATCAAATGTTCTGACCAACCCTCTTCCGTCTCTACTTCCTCCTGCTCATGCCTCGCTCCTCCTCCTCCTCCTCCTCCTCCTCCACATCATTCGTCCCATCATCATCAGCATCATCGTCAGCACCAGCACCAGCACCAGCATCAGCATCAGCATCAGCACTATCAGCATCGTCAGCAGTAGCATCATCATCAGTATCGTTATCATCATAAGCATCATCATCATATTCATCATCAGCATCAGCATCAGCATCATCATCATCATCATCATCATCATCATCATCATCATCATCATCATCATCAACATCGCCGTCGTCGTCGTGCTCACAAACATCATCGTCGTCGACATCGTCGACATCAGCATCATCGTCATTAGCGTCATCAGCATCATCATCAGCATCATCGTCATCATGATCCTCGTCGTCGCCATCATCCTCATCATCATCGTCACCAGCATCAGCATCATCATCATATCCAGCATCGTCATCAGCAACAGTAGCATCGTCGCCAGCATTAGTATCATAAGCATCATCGCCGTCGTCAGCATCATCGCCGTCATCATAAGCAGCGTCAACATCATCATCAGCATCAGCATCGTCATCATCGTCATCGTTGTCGTCGTCGTGTTCATCATTCCCATCATCATCATTATCAGCATCATCGTCATCATCATCATCATCGTCGTCGTCCTCATCCTCGTCATCGTCGCTATCATCATCATCATCATCATCATCATCATCATCATCATCATCATCCTCGTCCTCGTCCTCGTCCTCGTCAGCATCATCAGTATAATCAGCATCATCATCATCATCATCATCAGCAGCAGCAACATCATCAGCACCATCAGTATCATCATCATCAGCATGATCATCAGCATCATCATAATCACCATCATCATCATCATCATCATCAGCAGCAGCAGCAGCATCCGCAGCATGATCATCATTATCAGCATCATCAGCAGCAGCACCATCAACAACTTCCTATACTTGATCATCATACTTACCATCCTCGTGATCAGTATGCCCACCAATCGTCAGCATCAGCGTCATCATCAGACTCATCAGCCGAATCAGTATCAGCATCATCATCGTCTTCAGAGCAAGTATAAGTTTCATCCTCATCATCATAATCATCATGCTCAGCATCGTTAGCGTCGTCATCGTCATCATCAGCAGCATCATTGTCGTCATCATCATCATCATCATCATTGTCATCATCAGCAGCAGCAACAGCAACAGCAACAGCAGCAACAGCAGCAGCATCATCGTCATCAGCATCGTCGTCGTCGTCATCATCCTCACCATCAGCAGCAGCAACAGCGTCATCGTCTCCGCCACTACCACATCCGCTTCGTCCTCACTTCACCTACCACCCCTCACTCTCCCTCCTCCTCCTCCTCCTCTTTCTCCTCCTCCTCCTCCTCCTCCCCCTCCTCTTCCTCCCCCTCCTCCTCCTCCTCCTCCTCCTTCTCCTCTTCCTCCTCGTTGGTGGCCGCCTTCGCCGACAGAAGCTGCCGCAGGAACAGATGGCCGATGAATTTCATATTCGACAGCACGCGGTCCTCGGGGCTGCCACGGCGGGAGGGCCACGCGGCGGCCCATCGCACGCGAGGCGCGACACAGGGCAGTCGCGGCTGCTGGCCGTCGGAGCGAGCATCGGAGCATCGACGCGCCGAGATTTCCTCGGAGGGCCTGCGGAGGCCACCACGGGCCTCCGGGTGTGGAGCCTCCGCGAAGCCGCCGCTCTGGCCTGTGGGATCCCCGGGCGAGGAGAGAGTCAGACCGGGCCAGATCGGAAATATCTGAGAGCCAGCGTCTCTGAAGCAGGTCACATCACGTGCGCGGACAACGAAAAGCGAAGTAAATTCACGGGAGTCCGAGAGGCGTGCCAGAAGACCACAAGGGGTCGGCGGTGCGGGGTAGGCCAATGAACTTCTGCCAGCCCTCTTGGCTGAGCGTGAGTCGAGTCGAACCGAGGGAAAAGAGGGAGGAGCGACGACATAGAACTCACTCCCCAGACCCTCGCCACCCCGAGGTCTCGGAGAAGGTAGGAGGGAGGGGAGGAGGATTTGGGGTGGAGGGTGCGGGGGGATAAGAGAAGACGAGCGCCGAGAGGCGGGCCTGGCTGCAGCTGGTGAATGGGTGCTCCAGGGTTCTATCACCCCGTACCACTTCCGCCAAACGCGGGGCCGCCGACACGGGAACAGGGTGGCACCCTCTGGGGGGTACAGATCTACTGACCACAGGAGAACTGGTGTGGCATGGCATCCTCTGGGTGCTGTTACCAGATGAGCACAGTGCCCTCCAACACTCAGTGGAGGGGAAGGGAAGCGAGAGGGAGGACAAGGAGGTGGGTCCCTGCATCCCGCCCTCTGGACTCCTTTCTCTTCTTCCTGCGGAAGTCCAGCTCCGACGCGTCGTACTTCTCCATCTCCTGGGCACCGCGGGTCTGAATGGCGGAGGCAGCAAGCAATGCGGTGCATGGCATAGCGTTGCGTTTATCAGAGCTACTCTGAATTGCTTTCTGGAAAAAAGAATGGCCCTATTGGGATCGCGCTGGGTTCACTGGGTTGGAAGGCTGATGAAGCAGTGGGCCTCTCAGGACAAGGAGGTACAACACCACGCAGAGCTAGCCAGGCGAGACTAGAGGGAGGGGGACAAGGGAGGAGGGTGAATCTGAGGCCCCATACTGGAGAACCCCCTAGACTTACGACAATCCGATTGGAATTCATCAGCACCAATACAACCCGGCACAAGCCCTGAAATAGTCCTGCTATCTTCCTCCTCCCACTCAGGAAAAGGAGACGAGAGAGAAGCATCAAAAAGATACTGCCGAAGCTAAGACGGAACATATGGCAACTCGCGCCCCCTCTCCCTCTATAAGGCCTATCAAGTATCAATATCATCATACTGCCTCACCCTCATTCTCACTCGTTTCGTCCTCCCTCATCCTCCTCATTATCATCACCATCCAAAGCATCGTCTTCATCATCCTCTCATCCTCATCTTCCTGTGAACTGTGGACTGATCGCAGCGCGATGACCTCATTATCCTCCTCCTCCTCCTCATCCTCCTCCTCCCGATCCTCCTCTTCCTCCTCTTCCTCCTCCTCCTCGTTCTCCTCCCCCTCGTCCTCGTCGTCATCAGCATCATCATCATCATCATCATCATCATCATCAGCAGCAGCAGCAGCAGCAGCATCAGCATCAGCATCATCAGCTTCATCAGCATCATCATCATCAGCCGCATCAGCATCATCATCGTCATCATCAGCAGAAGCAGCATCATCAGCATCAAACACGCTCCTCCTCCTCCTCCTCCTGCTCCTCCATTTCCTCCTCCCCATCATCCCCCTACAGTCGGGGCGTTGACCTAAGGAACCCCAAATAAGGAACGAGGTCCCTTTTTCCCATAAGTTCAACCTCGATTTCCCGTGGAAAACCTCAGGAAAGCCCTAGGCAAACTTTGAAACCTTCAAGGAACACCGAGCCCCTCCCCAACGAAAAGGGTTCCTTCTTCAGCGCCCCGACTGTATTAATTTCTCCCATCGCTTTCCTCCGCATCGTCCCCCAAACTTCTCTGACTATCCCTGCTGTCACCCATCCTTCTCTCAATCCGACGCATCGCCTCCCCCCCGTCATACTCCTCCTATTATGTTATTCCTCCTCCCCCTCCTCGTCGACTTTTCACTTCGCCTCCTCCTAACTATCATCCATCATCCTCATTGTGTATGCTTGCATTCCCACCCCGAGCAACAACCATTACTGTGCGCTCACTCTTTGAAATAAGAAGACACAGGGGCAGGGGCAGCTATATGATCTGGTTGCAAGATCGTGGACTCGCGGCGGCACCGTGTCGAGGTGCTCGGTCCATCATCCTGAACGCCAGCTTTTTGAAGGTGGCAATCGTCTAGCAGCGATGTGGGCGCAGGCGACTCCGAAGACTCACACGAACTCACGCCAGCGGCCCATCACGCATCACGTGAAACACGGGCGCGCCCAGAGCGTGGACAGCCTCCGAGGGCGGCCTGTTCTGACGAGACCCCCGAACGTGGCACCCGCGCCGTCTCGAGCACCGGCCTCGCCCGAGGGCCGAACCGGCGAGACGGGCGCGCGAAGAGAAGCGCGAGACGCTGGGGAGCGAGGGATCCGAGCTCTAGCGCCCGCGCAGGGCCATCGGATCCCCTCCGCGGTCGTGCGCGGCGGTCCGCAGGGGCCGGGCGCGAGGACGCGTCGAGCCCAAGCGGGGCCTGGCGCGAGCTCCAGCGGCGCGCCGGACAGGGCGTTGGAGGGGAGGGCGGGCGGCCTGCCGAGGAGACCACCCGCTTCTCAGGGCGGCGCGGGGCGCGGGGCTCCTTCGGAGGGCGACCCCTCCGGAGAGGCCCCCCCTGCCTTCGGAGACGGCCGCCTCCCCTCCTCCCTGGCCCCTCCTGCGCGCCGCCAACGGCGGCCGAATGCAGGAGGACACCAACTGCACACGCACACCGATCCCCCAATCGCCTCGGCGGGGCGCACATCAGGCTGCTGAGACGTGGAAGCTGGGGCCCAGGCCCCAAGCGCGCATCCGGTAGTGCGGCTCCTCGCCCGCGGCGCGGAGCCGGCAGTAGACCAGGAGGTCCACCCAGGGCTTCAGGGCGAGCGTCGACGTTATGTGCCACACGGCGTGGAGGTTCAGGGCCTTCAGCTGGCTGCAGAACGTGCTGTCCAGCAGCCACAGGCCCGCGCCCGAGTACCCGATGCCCACGTGCATTGCGAGCATTCCCAGGGCGGCCCGGTCCCACTGGGTGCGCCTCCATATGAAGTATATTATCAAGGGCCAGTGGAGGATGGCCTGCACAACGACGCCCGTCAGAAATACGCTGTAGGCCTTGGTGTGCAGCGTATACAGAATGGTCAGCGCCGCCGTCTCTATCACACACGCCGCCGCCAGGACGCGGGGCCCGAGCCCCCACCAGGAGCGCTTGAACCCGCTCTGCAGGGAGAGGTTATCGACACAAACTGCCAGGCTGAAGCCAACGAAGGCCATTATCGGCACCTCGTCCAGTAGCTGCCCGGCCCAAGTCAAGGTCCCATGGAAGGCGGCGGACCCGGCAAAGATGCAGAAAAAGAGCAGGTGCAGCCAGGGCAGTGCCCCCGCCGCAGGTGGTGACGGCTGGCACAGCCACACCAAGAACACGGCCGCGCACAAGACCGACGTCCAGGTGTTCCAAAACTCAGCCACCCACGTTTGAACGGCGTAATTGTCCTCGCACCAGTCGATGGTGACGCCATGCGGAAGCAGGGGTGCCGGTTGCGGGGGAGCCATTAACCTGCCGCTGTCGGCAAAGCCCGCAGCTTAAGAAAGGAAGACTTGAGCGAAAATGGCTACAGAGGAGAAGGAGAGGCAGGACGAACTGGAGCACAAGGGGCTGGAATAGACAGATCGCATGGGGAGTACCCCAGTGCCTCGGGGGACGTCGAGACTGACGAGGTCGCATCTCAGACGACAGATCTTCGCCTCCTCCTCATTGGTCGGCCATGGACAAGCGCCAAGACGAACTGGATGAGCAGATGAAGAGGAGAACACCAAGACGACGTAGCACGCCGAGGTGATCTAGGCGCCACAGACCTTGAAAGACAACCATTTAAATACATCGAAGCAGCCTCTCAACCACAGCGCGAAGGAGTGAAAAGGAGGACAAGGAACGATCCCAAAACGGTCCGTGTGATTGATTGGCCACAAAACCCGCAAACATTCCGAGCGTCAACAGGTTAGCAGAAAACTAATTCGTCGACCCCCGCTTGCCGGGGTTGAACATGCGTGTCAGACGAATGGCGATAAATAGTCAATTAGCCAGCGTGTACCCCAAACAGTCTGCTCCTAGCAATGTATGTTGTGCAGTCTATGTTTTGTCAGATATGTTGTGCGATCTGTATGGTGCAATATATATGCTGCGCAGTCTGTGGTGCTATATATATACGTGTGTGGTGCAATAGGTGTGGTGCAGTCTAGCGGGAGTAAGCACTATGGCGCAGTATATGTGGTGCAAAATATGTGGTGCTCAATCTATGTGGTGCAATTCACTTGACGAACTTAAAGGTATCAAGTCCATTGCTCGCGCAAACATCCCACCCACCCACCCGCAACTTGGTTTGCAAAACCCCATGCGGAAGCGATTGCGATGAGTGCTTGGTGTTGATTGGTGCATCTGTGCGACCGCGCTAGCCCGCGCATGCTCGCGCGCGCAGCGACCGACGCGCCCGACGCGACCGCGGTGCGATGACCGCTCGGCACATCCCAGCGGACATTTCAGTGCGAGTCGGCGACTGGTTGTTCGAGGATATATGGTACGATTCGTGTGATGTCATGAAGCTCGGTCTTGAAATTGTTGAAACCACCATATGTGTATGGAAGGATTTCGACCTGCGCGCGCGGCGGCCGCGCGCATGAGCCCCGCATGGTATTTTGTGCAAGAGATTGTGGCCCTGGCAGGCGCGCGACCGTTGTTGAATGAGATCGACGTGCGCGCTAGCCCAAGAAGCCCGATTGGACGGGAATGTTGAAACACAATTGGGTTTTGAAGGATTCGGCAAGAGCGCGCGGGCAGATGTTTCAGAATTATTGGGTGAGAAAGTCGTATGTTGACATAGGTGTTCTTGAAGCGGGATGTTGAAATTGTTTCAAACACAGTGTGTTTGGAAGGATTTCGACATGCGCGCGCAGCGGCCGCGCGCGTGTGCCCCGCATGGTATGTGTTACAAGGGACTCGTGCAAAAGTGTTACGGTAGAACAAAACATGTATACTGGTTTTGCCACGGAACCGAAGGGGGGACCGATACCGGCCTCGCTAGGATAGTATGAATTCACAGGTAGGATGGACATTGGGTCAGAATCAACTGTGTTTTACAATTTTACATAGGTTGCGCGGGAGTGGAGAAGTCCGGGGGGGGAGGGTGGTAGAACCTCTTTTTTAGCAAGGAAAATATATGTGGTGCAGTGTATGCTGTGGTGCACGCTATGTGGTGAAACTATGTGGTGCAGTCCTTGTTACCGCGACGAGGCGGCGACGGGGTCACGACGGCGGCAACAAGTTAGCCAGCTTGGACCCCAAACAGTGTCGTTCTAGCAATCTATAACTTGCAACAGTGTGTAAGGTGCAACCTATGTGGTACAATCTCCGCCTCCGTGCCGCTGGGCACGGAGTGGGCGTGTCCCCAGTTCCCGATCCCGGACCCCAAATTCTCACATCTACCGGGGTTCCCGGCGTGCCCCCCGGGCTGTGGCGCGGCCCAAAAAGGCGCCCGGAAGGGCCAAGAGGGCCCCAAGAGGCCCTTAAGACGGCCCAAGAGGGCCGAGAGTGACCGAAAAATCGCCCCAATACGCCCAAGAGGGCCTCAACACGGCCCAAGAGGCCCCTAAGGCGCCCAAAGATTGTCCCAAGAGGCGTCCCAAGAGGGCCCCAAGACGCAAGGATCATTGATTGTCCTTCGGTTTGAAGGTTTTTGGCCTTCACGCCTTTTCGGCTTTCCGACGCTCCAAGACTGCCCAAGAGACCCCAAAGATCGCCCCCCGACGACCCAATAGCCCCTCAGGAGGCCCCTCAAGAGGCCCAAGAGGGCCCCAAGACGTCCCAAGAGGCGCCCAAGACGGCCCAGAGGACCCCAAGACGGCCCCAAGAGGAGGCCCAGACGGAAGACCCGAACGAGCATTCCGAGCCCTCGACCCCGAAAGGATCCAAGATGCCCCAAAGAGGCCCCAAGAAGCCCCCGAGAGGCCCCCAGGGAGACCCAAGAAAGCCCCAAGAGGTTTCCAAGAAGCCCTAAGAGGCCCCAAAGAGGCCCTCAAAACAATCCCAAGGAAGCCCAAAAACTATCCCCAAGAAGCCCCCGAGGGTGCTCCGAAAAGACCCCATGAAGCATCCCTGAGGACTCTGCCCACAATCCAGGCACGGTGGCGGGATAGGCCGAAGGCCATTACATGTATTGTGTAGTCAATGAGAAACAATATATGTGGTGCTATACCTGTGGTACAATATAATGTGTGCAATTGACGCTTTTCACCATATGGAGCACCCTATGTGGTACAAACTATGTGGTGCAGAATATGTGGTCAAATCGTTGTTTCGCGATATAGGTTGTGGAATAGATGTGGTGCAACCTATGTGGTGCAACAACTGTGATGCAACATATGTGGAACAATAGCGATACCTGTGTGGAGCAAGATGCATGGTGCAACACACATACACATATATATACAGAGAGATATATACTGCGTGTGCAATATCTGGTGTGCAATCTAGGTTGAGCAATCTATGTGGTGCAGTAGACTACCCTGCACCGCGCCTGACCACCTCCACTGCTCGCGCAAACATCCCACCCACCCACCCGCAACTTGGTCGCAAGACTTCTTAAGACAAGACCTTGACGGTAGGTACCACATGGCACTTGGCCACGACACCGACGCCGACGAAGACAGCGACAACGACGACGACGGCGCCGCCGACACCGACTACGACGACACCGCCGACGTCGACGTCGACGCAGACGACGACGACGCCGACGCCGACGACGACGACGAAGACGACGACGACGACGTCGCCAACGAAGGCGACGACGAGGGAGGAAGGAGGACGACGACGGCGACAACGACGACAACGACGATGGAGGAGGGAAGACGGCGACGACGCGAACGACGAACAAGGAGGAAGGACGGCGACGCCGACGACGACGACGACGACGAGGGAGGAGGGAAGACGACGACGACGACAACGACGACGAAGACGACGACGACGGCGACGAAATAGGAGGGACGACGACGAGACGCCGACGACGGACGACGACGACGACGACGAGGGAGGAGGATAACGACGAGTGAGGAGTGAAGACGACGACGACGACGACGACGACGACGACGACGGCGACGAAATAGGAGGGACAACGACGAAACGCCGACGAAGACGACGAGGGAGGAAAGACGACCACGGCGACAACGACGACGGAAGCGACGACGACGCCAAGACGACGACGACGACGACGACGAGGAAAGACAGAAGACGACGGCGACGACGACGACGACGACGACGAGGGAAGAGGGATGACGACGACGACGACGACGACGACGACACAAGAGCGCGCGCGCACGCTTTTGTTGAAAATCCGTGTTGCGAAACCTTGTGTTTTTGTAGGTTTTTTGGAGACGCGATTTTGAAATCCTTCCGAAACCGATGGGTTTTGAAGGTTTTCGGCATACGCGCGCAACGACGCGCGCGTCTGCACTTCGTCCCATTTTTGCTTAGGATTCTCGCGACGGCACACGCGCAAGGGCGTTCGACAGATTTCGACATGCGCGCGCGAAGCCCGTTTAATAGCATTTTGTGATAATCTTGAAAAACCTATGGTTTTCTGAAGATTTCGCAAGAGCTCGCGCGGAAGCTGTTTTAGCAAATCAGTGTTGCCAAACCCTGTGTTTTTGTATGTTTTTGGGAAACTCGATTGCGAAATCCTTCCGGCACCCAAGGTTTTTGAAGGATTTCGGCATGCGCGCGCGACGGCGCGCGCGTGTGCACTTCGTCCCATCTTTTGCATGGGATTCGTGAAAAAGTGCTATGTTCGAACAGAAAATGTCACCGCATAGTGTTTTTAACAAGGGACCCTCAGGGGGGGGGATATCGGCCCCCCTGGGATAGTGCAAATTCATATTTAGGATGGACATGTGGCCATAATCATATGTGATTTACATACCCGAAAGGGGTAGCGATAACGCCGGGGGGGGGTAGATCCTATTCGGTTTTTAGAAAGGAGACTATATGTGCTTGTTGCGGCGACGGAGCGGCGACGGCGGCAACAAGGAGGCGGACCCGACAAACGAGCCCAGGCGACGAGCGGCGACGAGGCGGCGACGGGGCGGCGACGGCGGCGATATAGCCGCAAGACCGACGCCCAGGGCTCAGACGACGAGCGGTGACGAGGCGGCGACGGGGCGGCGACGGCGGCGACATAGCCGCCAAACCGACGTCCAAGCCCAATTATTCAGGCAAGCAAATGAGAACCCCTGAGTAAGTGTGAGCGCTGTTTGGGGAAGATGCAAGAACCCCTAAGTGCAGTGCAAGCACTGTTCGGGGGATATGAATACTACTCTCGCCCCTCCCCGGACTAAGTCCTGGCGAGGTTCCGCCCGCACCGTGCATTGTTTGTACACACACACAGTTTCAAAACAAGACATGCCTTGAATGTGTTGGTCCACACGAGCCGCTCTCGGTCCTTCAGCACTGTGTTACCGCAACACCGCTGGCCTTATTTCCGCATTTTCGGTCGTTCAAAAAGGTTTTCCCGCTGCAGAGGTGGCATCATTTCAGGATCAGCGCTTTGCTCCCGTCGTTGGGAAAGGCACTCTCGCCCCAGCCTGGACCACGTTTCTGGATCCGAGTGTTTCCTCATCGTTGCCGCCCGCCTCCTTTCCCCTCCCCCCCACGCCCTGGTCCTCCTGCTCCTGCTCTTCCTGTTCCTGC